TAACCGGTCTCACCAGCATAGGAGGGGTCAGGGGGCCACAGCTGACCAAAGAGGGTAAAGAAGTCGGAGCAGGACATCCCAGGGACTGGTGTCCTGGTGCGTTTTATGCGATCTTCCCCTCCCCCTCTCCTATGTGCAGAGTGCATTGTGGGATTGAGGAGGAAGGCATCAGGAGGGCCGTGCTGTGGGTCAGGTGAGGGGTACGCAGGACACGGGCAGGGTCAGCACTGAGGGAACCGAGGGCTGCTGCCCAGTTGAAGCCACAGAACAGCGCTAGATGGGTGCCACCTTGGGAGACAGAGACAGAGCACGGAGCTGGCAATGTGCTGGCCCTGTGAAGCCATTGAAATACCTGCATGAAGGTGCAAAGATAAATCCCTGGCATTCAAGGTATATATTGTAAAATTCAAACTCTTGTGTGTGTGCGCCAGTCCTGAGGCTTGAACTTAGAGCCTGGAAGCCGTCCTTGAGATTTTTTTGGCTTAAGGCTAGCATTCTGCCACTTGAATACAGTTCCACTTTCAGCTTTTTGGTGGTTCATTGGAGAGCAGAGTTTCCCAGACTCTTCTGTCTGGGCTGGCTTGGAACCATGATCTTCAGATCTCGGTCTCCTGAGTAGCTAGGATGACAGGCATGAGCCACCAAAGCACAGTAGCCACTCCACTAGATTAGGTCACACTGGATTGAAAAGAGAAGAAGACCACAGCGTGTGGGCAGTGGAGACCTCGGGGGAGGTCAGCTCAGATCTAGCCCTGGCGGCCGCAGCTGCGTGCTCTGCATCCAGTCCCTGGGCTGGGGTTTGGTCACTCATTGTCCGTGTGTGTGCCCCTGTGCCTCGCCAGGAACGTCTTGTTTGTTTGCACTTCGTGCAGCTCCAGTGCACACAACTGTCAGATAAAATTCCATCTGTGCTTAATGGAAAGATCTGCTGAAAAAAGTTACCTCACTATTGGACTGAAACCTGAGCTCAAATTAAACTCTGGGCGGGGCGGAGGGTAAAGTCCCATCCTGCAAGAGGGAATACCGACTCTAGGCCCTGAAATCAAATTTTCCACTGTGGAGGCTTAAAGCATAGACATGCACATCAAACCAAAGGCTCCCACTGACCGGGAAGAACCACGGGGGCGGGGTGGGGGTCCCCAATAATATCCTTATCCAGCCATTCCCATCCCCCATCGGGCTGAGCACAGAAGAGAAGGAAAGGGCTGAACTCGACTCATCGGGCTAAAATGTAAGATTTGGAAGACTCCGGCAACAACGTCTAACTAGAAGCCAGCTTGGAACCGAATCTGAACAAGCAATTAAAAAAAACAAACCCGTGAGGCCTTTCAGCCATTGGCTGAGACATCGCTCACATCCACCCTGCTCCAGACTTTTGGCAAAAGAACAAGTTAAAAAACAAATGCTTTCAGTTAGCTTAAATGACAGCCCTTGGAAAACCCAGAGAACAGTGCGCGGAGAACATTCCGCCCGTGATCCAGCGCCGCTCCGGCCATCGCTGCAAGGCGGCCCTTCCCCAAGACACGGAAAGCCAGGAAAGGTGATCACCACAACGCTAGGAAAATCATGGCGCTGGTGGCGTGAGATCACTGATAACAGTGTGTGTGTGTGTGTGTGTGTGTGTGTGCATGCATGCACACGCTTAGTGGTACAGTGCTTGTCTAACATCCATAAGGTTCTCCTCCTCCGTTATGAGGGAAGGGAAAGGGAGAGGGAAAGGAGATGAGGAAGAGGAGAGGAAGAGGAGGAAGGAGGAGCAGCAGGAGGAAGAGCAGCTGGAAGAGGAAAGAAAGAAGAGGAGGAAGAGGAGGAGGAGAAGAACAAGAAGCAGAAGCAGTAGAGGAGGAAGCAAGGACGAACGCGGAAGGAGGAGAGAACAGGAGGAAGAGGAGGAAGAAGAAGGAGAGGAGGAAGAGGATGAAGAGGAAGTGCAGGAGAAGAAGAGGATGAACAGGAGGAGGAGAAGAAGAGGGGGAAAGGAAGAGCAAGAGGAGGAGGAGAGGAAGGGAGGAAGTGGAGAAGAGGAAGAGCAGGAGGAGGAGTACAAGGAAGAGTAGGAGGAAGAGAAGAGGAAGAGCAGGAAAAGGAGGAGGAAAGGAAGAGCAAGAGGAGACGGAGGAGTAGAAGCAGGAGGAGGTGAGGAAGAACAGGAGGAGGAAGAGGAGGAGAAGAGGAAGAGTGGAAAGAAGAGGAAGTGAAGAAGATCAGGAGGAGGGAGAGCAGGAGGAGGAGGAGGAGGAAGAGTGGAAGGAGAGGAGAAAGAGCATGGATTTAGATAAATACACATCCTATCAGTTTTTACACAATGTTGTAAATCCTGCCACTTATCAAAGCTCTTTTATACAATGGAGACTGGAGCTAATTAAAATAAAACGCCATCTGTATCCCATTGAACTTTATCCTATCACATTCATTTCCAGTTTGGTCATTCCAATACACCAACAAGCTCACATTCCAATGCCTCTGGATAATATTAAATCATCTTTTCCTTTTGTTAATAATATTAATTACCCAAGTCTCCAGATGTTGAGGCACACAAATGTAGGAAAATGGTTCAGCTCGCTGCCACACAAGAGAACACTAAAGGCTTACATAAAAACAGCTAATTTGGCCAAACAGTTAATTGGAAATAACTAGGCAAAGTAAATACTAATTGATCAGGCTCGCCTGGAAACTAGCCGCATGTAAAAGAGGTATGGCGGTTGAGATTCTGAATTCATAATTGGTTCAGATGTCTATATGTTTTTCTCTGGGGCAAAAATTTAATTAGAATTGTAGGAGACAATCAGCCAATCACGTGGAGGCTCCAGGCTGGGCTGGGCTGTCCGGCTGTTTATATTTTTTCCTCTTTCTTCTTTATTAGCAGGATGCTTTGATAGCAGCCATGCCAGGAGCTTTATTAGGAAACTGTGCAAAAGGGATTTTGATTTTTAATTTGAAAAAAGGTTTAACTGCCAGAGCCTTTGCCTGGAAAGTATATACTTCCTTCTGTTTCCCCCAGGAACACAAAGTAAACACTGTCCTTCAGAGGTACAAGCGGCTCTGACATGAAGAAGTAAAAGACTGAGCCTCCCGTCCCTTGTCACCTGCCTACATCGCTCACCACCATCTCCTGTCCCTGCTTTACGGTGGACTCACCAGTGTCCGGGTCCAATTTCTGCATTTACACTCGCTCACAATGGCTGGGTGCTGGCAGCTCACGCCTGTAGCCCTGGCTACTCAGGATCGTAGTTCAAACCCAGCCCAGACAGGAAAGTCTGTGAGACTTTTATCTCCAATTAACTCCCCCCACAAAGCCAGAAGCAGAGGTGTGGTTCAAGTGGTAGAATGCCAGCTTGGAGCCAAAAACACTAAGGGAACAGTGCCCAGGTTCTAAGTTCAAGCCCCAAGACCTGTGTGTGTGTGTGTGTGTGTGTGTGTGTGTGTGTGTGTGTGTGTGTGAAAAAGCTTGGGATTTTCACAATGTTGTCTCTTTCTATGCATCTATCTATATATCCAGATATCTACGCTGCCAGCCAGCCACTCGCTCACTCATACTTCTCTCTAGCAGTCTGTTCAGCTACCCACTCATCCATCCACCTTGAAAATGAATTCAGAAGTATATTCAAAATATGTCTGTCAGCCGGGTGCCGGTGGCTCGAGCCTGTAAGCCTAGTTCCTTAGAAGGCCAAGTTAAGAGGATGGTGGTTCAAAGCCAGCCCAAGCAGGAAAGTCTGTGAGACTCGTATCTCCCATTTACTACCCAAAAAAGCTGCACGTGGAGTTGTGTGGCTCAAGTGGTACAGTGCTATATAGCCTTACGCAAAAGAGTTCAGGGACAGCGCCCTGAAATCAAGTCCAGGACTGGCGTGCGCGCGCACGCGTGCACACACACACACACACACGTCTGTGTGTCTTTTCATGGCCCATGTACATGAAACTCCATGCAGATGGACTCCCTGGGACGTCCTCTGGTGCCCAAGGCCAGGGGCCCTGGGAAGGGCAGGTCAGTATAGGACCCAGCATGAGCCACCTCACCCTCCTGTTCTGGCTGTCAGTCATTGCCACTGAGTGGTTAGGAACCACACCAAGAAGCCCTTTTCCCACGGAGACGTAATTAGAAGCGTTCTCTGAGAGGAGCTGGAAGAATTCTGCTACCAGCCGAAGAGCCCAGCCCAGTGCTTAGTGACTTGCTTTGCAGATTTTAATCTTTAATCTGGTATTGGGGGCTCACGCCTGTAATCCTAGCTACTTAGGAGGCTGAGATGTGAGGATCGTGGTTCAAAGGCAGCCTGGGCAGATAAATGCAAGAGACTTTTGTTTCCAATTAAGTAGCAAAAAGCCAAAAGTGGGGGTGGGGGGAAGGGTGGTGCAAATGGCAGAGCATTAGCCTTAAGCAGAAAAGGGTATGCAAGAGCATGAGGCCTTGAGTTCAAATCCCACTACTGGCACACATGCACATGCGTGCATCTACACACAAAGATACATTATGAGAGTCACCTCCTTTCATTAGTACACTTCTCATTTGAAATGCCTGGGGATTTGTTTTATGGGTAACATTCACATCTCTCTCTCTTATGATTATAGCATATTTTGATAATATTTTTATTTATTGCTTTTTGGTGTGTGCCAATCCTGGGGCTTAAACTCAGAGCCTGGCTGCTATCCCAAGGTTGCAAGGTTAGCACTCTACCACTTGAATCATAATTCTACTTCTGGCTTTTTGGAAATCCACTGGTGATAAGAGTCTCATGGACTTTCCTGCCCAGGCTGACTTCAAACTTCAGTCCTTAGATCTCAGCCTCCTGAGTAGCAAGGGTTACAGGTACGAGCCACCAGTACTCAGCTGAGAATTTCAATTCTTAAGTTTGATAAGGCCTTTAGATGGTCTGATACATCCATCTCTGTCATGTTCTATTCCAAGAAGATAAGGAAAATGACTGTCTTTCTAGAATCACAATGCATTACAGATTCAGCCAATGTTAGATCAAGTTCAAGAGAAGCATCTCGCCGGTTCTCACCTGGGGGTCCATCCTGAGCAAAGTGTGGGGGCCTCTGCTACTCACGGTTGAACGTTTAAAGGTTTTGCTGTGATAGAAATGGTAGTAATCTTCCAGGGGTCCAATCTGCAAAATAAAAAGCAAGATTCCATCCATGAATACCACATTACCAAAAGCTGAAAAAGTCTTCTTCCGCAGGGCACTAATGTGTACAGCTCACACCTGTGATCCTAGCTACTCAGGAGGCCGAGAGCTGAGGATCCAAAGCAGTGTAGGCAGGAAAGTCTGTGAGACTCTACCAAAAGGCTGGAAGTAGGGCGTGGCTCAAGTGGTAGAACACCAGCCTGGAGTGAAAAAGCTAAGGGACAGATCCTGAGTTCTACCTCCAGTAGTGGCATGCATAAGTATGCACACAGATACACACAGATACATACAAGCTCTCCCTCTTATCCAAGGTTGATTCTGCTCCCACTGCACACACACAGTCAGTGTTTATAACGGGAAGGAGGATTTGGAGAGTCCTTGTGAGATAAACAAACCTAGGTGACATTTCAGGAGAGCACCTGCTCCATTACATCTTGTGGTAAGTGAATATCGCTTCGGGTATGTCCTAGCTTGGCCAAGTTAGGACAAGAATGAGCATCCACTGCAGGCCAAGCATCCCCGCAGTAGCTAAGTTAGCATCAAGTTAGGTCTGCAGCACATTCCCATAATAAACAAGTTCCATTCTCTCCACCCCACGGGTAAACTGGAATATCTAAGAACAAGTACTCGGCCTCCAGCGTAGCCGACAGCCAAGGACAACACGTGGGCCCATCTGCTTCGGGCGAGTGGAAAGTTCAGATGAGAACACCCAGACCCCTGGGGGTGTCCCGATTTTCTGCCAGGGTCAAGTTTTCAGGACAGATTTTAGCTCAAGGGTGGGGTTGAGCCCACAATAGCCATGTGGCTCAATCCTGGGTCTTTGAGGAGAGCTGACCCCAGTAATCTTCCCGGCAATCAACACTTGCTCTCACACCAGATGACCCGTGAGCACTAACACCGTGTCCTCAGCGGCCAGCTGCCGCGTGTAACTCTCACTGGCTCTAGCTGATTGCGAGTTAGTCACTGTCCATGCAAGAAGGGCTTTCGAAACGCAGAGGGACCAAATATCCCCGAGAATCTCAAACTGCCCCTCCCCAGTTCAATCACCTGAGCTTCTTTTGCCAGCTTCTCTGATAATTCCCCGCCCCCCCCCACTTCACTTTCTGAGGGTCAGTTTCCTGAAGCCAATATTACATGAAAATATTATGTAGAAAGTCAGGTGCCGGTGGTTTACACCTATAATCTTAGCTACTTGGGAGGCTAAGACCAGAAGGATGATGCCTGAGCATATACACACAAGACCCCTTCTTAACCAATAGCTGGGTAGAGTAGCGTAGGCCTATTATCACAGCTGTGTGGGAGGCTCAGATTGGGAGGATTAGCGTTCCAGGCCAGCCCAGGTACAAAAGTTGGCAAGATTCTATCTCAATGGAAAGAAACTGGGCATGATGATACATGCCTGTCATCTTAGCTATGCTAGGAAGCCTAAAATAGGCGGATCACAGTCCAAATGTATACCTAAAGTATACATTTATCTTATCTGAAAACTAACCAAGTCCCCCATCCCCCCAAAAACACTACAGTGACTGCTTAGTAAGTAAAGCCCCGAATTCAAACTCCTGAATCAACCACAACAATAAGCAGAAAATTCCAGAAATAAACAATTCATGTTTACAGTAGAGTTATCCTAGTTTTAATTAGCCTTTGTTGCTAATCTCTTAACTGTGCTTAATTTTTAAGTAAAACTTTATTATAGCTATGTATGGACAGGGAAAACATGGTTTGTGTGTATATCTATATAGGTAGGTATCATATATCTATGTGTATCGTCCAGTGTAATATTCTAAATATAACACTATAGCCATTAAACATACGTTAATACACATAGTACACATAAATACTATCAACAGAGTCTATACCGAGTAAATGTACACATAGATTTTGTTGGCAGTTTCAGGCACGATGGAATGTTCTGGAACCTATCCCAGATGCAGATAAGGGGTGTAATTGTTCCCTGGAGACATTTATGAGATGATGATACGCCTGAGTTTCCTAATTCAGCTCCTCCCACATTAATTGTAGGGATAAAGCTATTCCATCCCTGAGAATCTCAGTTCCTGAAGAAGATGATGTATCCAGGACTTAGGTCTAGTCAACACAGAGCCATGGTGACACCTCATTCACAGCCACTGTGAGCCCTGAGCTGACCCCAACAGAGACGGGAAGCTACAGTGCCCGTCTTCACACCTTTGCACACCATACAGAATGTGTGTGCAAGATTCTTCACCATCCTTCCGCTCTCCTTGCCAGGTTTAGAAGACACAGCCTTCTTTTTAAAGGAAAGAACCTCCTTTTTATACTTAGGCTTCCTTCCCTCTTTTTCTTTCCTTCTTTCCTTTCCCCCTCCCTCCTTTCTTCCCTTCCTCCTTTCTTCCCTTCCTCATTCCTTTTCTTCCCCTGCCTTTTCTTTTTTGTCCAGTAGTGAGGGCTTGAACTCAGGCCCTGGGCCCTGTCCCTGAGGTTTTTCACTCGTGGCTATTTCTCTACCACTGAAGCTGTGGCTCCACTTCTGGCTTCTTGCTGGTTACTTGGAGAGAAGAATCTCATGGACCTTCCTGATGGGCTGGCTTCCATCTCAGCCTCCAGAGTAGCTAGGATTACAGGCGTGAGCCACCAGCACACCCACTACTTAAGTTTCCATAGTACCCTTACAATTATGGCCCATGGACCACGAGGAGGCAGATCAGAGCCGCCATCATCTGCCCAGTGCTTCATCTGTGCCTACAGCCTCATAGGTACTTGGCCAATTGCTGACACGGGGAGCTGGGACTCCCTCTGGTTCTTTCCTAGCCTCTCTTCCTCTTGATTCTCAAGGTCTGGGATGGCTGTGGATTGGGTCCAAATACGAATCTGCACCTACGTTGACCGCTTCCTGTTGGGCGACCAGGGCTTTCTCTGCATCTTGGCTTCCTTGTGACATTAATAATTACAACCTTGCCTGGCCAAAGGCTTCCAGAGTGGAATGAGCTGTCTGTGTGCGAAGCAGCTGGGCTGGGCACCCCGCAGGGCCAGCGGAGCACCCCACAGGTGGTTTTCTGAACTTCTGAACCCCGGCTCGTTCTCTCTGCCTCAAGACATTTTTCTGGGACACGAACCATGGCACTATTTCTGCCCTATTTTGCACACACCCACTTTTACTTCTCCTTCCCACAGGTGAGTCATGTGGATTGTGTCTTCCACAAAGTTAATTGCTACCCGTGCCCAAAGCCTCCTCCTAAAACAAACCAGACCACAGTAGACCATCTCGGAGCAGTACTGGTTAATAAATAGCAGTATTTAATGAACATGTTGGCTTCAAAGCAGGCCCTATCTCTGGAGGTGTGACATGACCTTTGATCTTTCAACGCCAGGAGTTCAAGCTACTTCCTACTGTGGCTCAGTCCAGGGGCAGGCTGAGTTCTCCATTAAAAGGCAGGGAAGTATTTCGCCATTCAGGACCACAGTGGAACAATGAGTTGAATGAAGTTGCTGGCAAAAGAATGGATTCAGTGTTGCTGGGCATCAACAGACCCAAGGCCGGGAGGCCCCAGAAGCTCTCCATGGCCTCTGGTTGCTGAGCCAGGCCAGAATAAGCCACCTCTTCCCTTGAGACAAGCAAAGGCCAATCAGTCCCCTCCCTGTGGGTCACTATCGGGTCTTGAACTCAGGACCTAGCTGCTGTCCCTGAGCTTTCTTTCCTCTCAAGGCTAGTGTTCTACCACCTGAGCCACAGTTTCACTGATAACTTTTAGGCAGTTACTTGAAGATAAGAGTCTCATGGACTTTCCTTCCCAGCCTGGTTTTGAACCATGATTCTCATATCTCAACCTCCTGAGTAGCTAGCTAGGATTACAGAAGTGAGCCACCCACCCACCAGTGCTCAGCCTGAATACTCACTGGTGGACACCTGTGCATCCATCCATAGAGGCCACTGTGAAGATCACTACCTGGAACACGGTTCTGATAACATTTGTTCAGATTCCTGCTTCCACTTCCACTGGGTACCTCTCATTCTCTAGCGCTGAGAGAGTCACACCCGTTTGTTTACCTGGGTGGCTGTTTCCTGTTGCTCAGCAAAGCTCTTCGTGGGATCTCACCGGACCCAGGATGGCAATAACTGTTCCAATATGCTCCCCCCAACTTGGAAAGCTGCTCCTCAGCTCTCAGGGTGCTGTCGGGAGGGAGGAGGTGAGACTGGCAGCCTCCAGGCTTGATGGGGTCATGTCGGGGAGGTTTTCACGGGCCAAGGACACCTGACTGCCTCCTGACCCTGACTCACAGCCCGGCTGGGACCCAAGGCTCTCTGACTCTGACTCCCTGGGCCTTACTCTCCCAATCTGTAGAATGGAGTCGTGTCTGTGAGGAAAGGGGCATCCTGAGGTATAGGCAGGGAGATGGAGGCTCAGGGAAGTGAAGTCCAGTGCCATTCGGTGGGACTTCCACAGCCTGACCCAGCAAACTCCCCATTCTCACACAGACAAGCACAGGACAACGTCTGATGCTAAATGACATACTAACAGTTGGAATAGGATGGAAGGGAATTGCTACATCGTTGGCACACCTTCAGCCTCAAACTGACAGATACTAGATGAAGTATCCCCTCCTCCTCCTCCTCCTCCTCCTCCTCCTCCTCTTTCTGGATGGCACTCCACTTCTGGCTTTTTGCTGGTTACCTGGAGATAAGACCTTCATGGGCTTTCCTGACTAGGCTGGTTTCAAACTGTGATCCTGACTTCAGCCTCCTGAGTAGCTAGGATGACAGTCATGAGCCACCAATGCCCCACCAAGATGCTATGTGTTATGTCCCAACATAACATTTCACTATGTTCTTTTGATTTTTTTCTTGCCCGTGGTATTTTCACAAATGCATTCACTGGAGCCCGTCTCCCAGCACACCAGCCAATGAAGTAAACAATTTGCTGGATATTGAACACTCACCTCCTACCACTCCATACACACTGACACATACTTACATACATCCACTGATAAAATCAGTGATGTCATTAAAATATCATTACAAACCCTGCTAAGTGTTCCCGACCAGAACATTGGAAGAAATGAGATCAAAGAACCCACAGTGAGTGTAGGTTAATTCTCCTCAACAGGATGCTCTATTTGACAGCCTACAAAACAACTGTAGCTAATGAATATATACACATGGCACAAAATAAAGGAAGGTGAAAAAAAAAAGAAAAAAAAAAAGGTCAGGAGAGTTCCTCCACTTTTCCTGCATGCTCCTAGCTTAGGTCACCCCACGCAGCAAACCTCAGAGATCACATCAAGTCACAACCCTAGGAGCTTGCAGATAGGGAAACTGAGGCACAGTGAAGAAGTCACTTCATGTCCACCCATTAGGTCAATAGCACATTCTGAACTGTCCCCCTTCTGTCTCTTGGCCCGGTGAGGGTAAGCGATTGTGGGGGGTGGGGAGTGAAGGGAACCCCCCAGGACCTCCACAAGCTCTTCCACCAAGTCCTGTGCTTCAGCAAGGAAACCGTAGAGTTACACACTAAGCTCCATGAGACACACGTCGCCATGCCTCTCCACGGTGTCTCAAGGTTATGCATGTGTACATGCACTCAGGCATGCATTTACACAGGTATTCAGAAGACGGACATGGGTGGGCTCGTAGGCAGTGATGGGTGTCTACAAGCATGTGGATGTGTGTGCGTGCAACCCTGTGGTTCTCCCACAGCCTCCACATCCAAGCTGCTGCTGGCTGATGGAGCTCAGTCAGAACCCCCGGATTCATGGTATGCCATCATGGAGTGCATCAGAGTCAGCCGCAGGACTCCAGGGAGCCTGCCGCAAGGTGGTTTGGGACCCCAGATGCCGGTTCTGTTTCCAGTGTGCTCAGCTGGGCTCAAAGGCTATGAGGTAAAGAGAATACTCCAGAATTCTTGTAGGCCCTGCAGCCTCGTCCCAGGAGAGGTGAGCCCTTCCCTGGAGAGGGTCCTCCTTCCTGACCTTCTAGCTTGGAAAGCCTCGGCTCTTCCCTTGCGAGCCCTGAGCACCGTGTGCTGCTGTGGCTGAGTCTCCCGGGGCCGGCCACACTCTCACCATCTCTGTGGCCTGGCTTGGTAGACCACAGATGTCAGGTGACCTCTGCCACCACCAGAACAGCCTCAACTGGACTCCATCCATCCCCTGATTCTGTGCGTCGCCCAGCGACTGCCTGTCTTGGTGGAAGGTGCCACCCTACCTTCCCAAAGCCACCTCGGAAATGGCCCCCAGCCCAGTCCCCTCATCCCGCGGTACAGGCCGCCTCGGTGCTCACTGGACCCTAGCCGGCTTCTGTGTCTCCTTAGTAACGCCACACGCCTTCTCCTCCTGGAAGACAAAGCCCAGCCCTTCTCAGGGCCCAACTATCTCCATCACCAAGCCAGGCTCCTTGTCTAGCCGGGCCTGACCTAGGCCCGCATCACCCTCCTTCCTCAAGGCAAGAGGCCTTGTCCCCAGGTTACCGCCCCTGCTACTCCGAGCCCCTCCCCCTGCTACTCCGAGCCCCTCCCCCTGCTGCTCTTCCCCTCCCCCCTTCCCCTCCCCTTCGGCTGTCATGGCCTCCGGGAAGTCTCCTGGAGCCCCTCGCCCCCCAGACCCAATCTGCCCCCATAGGACTGCCATCCCCATCGTCACTCTTCCCCTCAACAGTAAGGGACTTGGTCATCTGTCAACCCTCAGAGCCGCTGATGCAAAGGAGGAACATGAAGAGAACCTTCCAGAGCTCCAGTTCCCAATGCTGCCTGACCGCACACGTGTCACGCCAGATCCAGTCCACTGACACAGACTAGTCCAGAAAAGAGCTGAGTCCCCCAGGGGGCGGGGCTCCCACATCCCCACATCCCCTCCTGTGCTCTCCCTGGGGAGTCCTGAGGCCGGAGTGCCCTGCACGGTGGGGAGAGAGAATCACATGCTGTGTGGCTCCAGCTCGGCCTCTCTGTTCTCCAAGCACTCCCAGGACGGGAGGTAGGGAGTAAGTGGCCTGCATGGCTGTTTCACGTCTCCCTCAAAGGGCAAAAGCCAAGGGTAAGAGGGAGAAGAGCCCTGAGCTGGTCTCTTTACAGGGAGAAGCCTCTTGTCTAGTCTGTTTGCTTTTTAATGCAAGCTCCGAATTCCCTCTCTTCTTTGATAAGGGCAGGGGTGGGGGCGGGGTGGCAGCCCCCAGTGAGCACTGCCAGCAAGGCTTACCCTGAAAAGATGAAGACTTCGTAGTTTTGTTAGAAGGAATGGAGGAGGAGGAGAGGGGACGGGGGAGGAGTGGAGAGGAGGAGGAGGAGAGCAGTACTGAATGAATCCCATCTGGTGTGGGAGTAAAGCACTCTTGAGCACACTGTGTCTACCCCAAATGACATCAGACCCCCCCCCATACCCACTGGGCTCGCCAGTGGACACAGCTGAAGACACAGGTTCAAGTCTCTCCCCCTGATCGGAGGAGTTGACTAAATACATACTTTGATCAGTCCCCACCCCACCCCCGCCTCCTCCCCCCAAAATCTGCCACCTCATCTCCCCAGGCCCGTGCAGAGAAAGCCTGTCTCACAAGAGCAGCCGATAAGCAGCCCCAGAATGTCACAACTCAAGGTCTCACCAATGAATGGGCTACAGACGCCTAGTCAAGTCAGCTTGGCAGTTGGAGGGGGCGTGGCCAATCCCTTTATCGCTCTTGGAGCCTGCCCTTGGCTACAAACAGATGTTCCGGGGGGCCTGTCCACCCTGCAGCTGCTACGTGCTGGCTTCCAAACGAACGAAGCCGCTTGTCATCCAATAGGGCCCCGGGCTTTCTGGAACAGTTTCTGTCTAAAGTCATGGGTGTCTGAGTTCAGTTACGTAACACTATTGATCCCAGTTGGCCAGCTTAAGAAAAACATAACTAATTAAAGCCCATAAAAATCTACACACCAAATTAATTCTGTATTGCTCTGGTGACTTCCTCCAGGGGGAAAAAAAAGTTATAAATAGAGATGGTCACTGAGCCTATATTTAGCCAGCACTGAGTTACCTGGTATTTATAATTAAGGAAGCCCAGAAAAACAGAAGGGACATTTTGTTGCTATTTTTTTAAGTACTTTATTTTAAAAAACAAAACAACACACAACAAACAAAAAACCGCTTCCCATTTCAGGCTCCTATACCCATAACCACATTTTGTTATGGCAGTAGTTATAATCCTGATCCCAGTTAAGATCATTGAATAATTTCCTAGTTCCCCAAAGTTACTTTCTCCAACACGGATCCACCCAAACTGTAGTCAAACTGTTCAACTT